GCCGCAGGGCTGCGGGGAGGCACTTGCCGCACAAAACTTATTGTGTGTGGGTGCTCCGTTCAACCACCCTTCCCTGCTTGTGGCAATTGGACTTGCATTAAATAAAAACCCTGAGGGGAGCAGACGACAAGAAGCAGAGAGAAAACAGTGAGTCACAGCCTTTGCTGAGCCGCTCAACATTGAAATTGGCAGAGATGCATTTTTCCAAATGACTAGGGCTGCGAGGGAGTGCCAGGGAGCAGGGGACGGGCTTTTGCTTCTCGGTGAGACCCAGCCCTGTGGATACTGCTTCTGTTACCAATAAGCTCTACTTTCATATCTCTTCTTCATCTCTCGCTGCTGCTGCTGCTTCTTCCAAGGAGAGACAGACTTTGTGAAGCACTGCGGAAATGGCTGTTGCTGAGGCCATGTCCCCACTCACTAACCTCACCTTCGGCAACCAGACCGGCTGCAACGTGCACAACCACCATGTCTCTGCCAAAGTCACCTTCTCCCTCTTCTACACCGTCCTGCTGCTGTTCGGCTCCTGTGGGAACATCCTGGCCCTCTGCATCACCTTCCAGCGCAGGAAGAAGAAGCTAAACTCCACTGACCTCTACCTGGTGAACCTGGCCCTGTCTGATGCTCTCTTTACCCTGGCGCTGCCAGGCAGGATCACCTACTACATCCTGGAGTTTGATTGGCCCTTTGGGGATTGGTTTTGCCGGGCTACAGCCTTCATCTTCTACATGAACACCTATGTGGGCATCTACTTCATGACCTGCGTGAGTGTGGACCGCTACATCGCTGTGGTGCGCACCAGGCACCCTGGCAGGATCCGCAGGATGAGCCGTGCCCGGGGCATCTGCATCCTCATCTGGTTCATGGTGTTCCTGCAGACAGCACCGCTGCTTTTGAGGCCCATGACACGGCGCATGGGGGACAAGCTGACGTGCATGGAGTACTTCAACTTCGAGGAGGTGCCCAAGCTGCCCTACCTGCTCTTGGGGGCCTGTGTGCTCGGCTTCTTCCTGCCTGTGGGCATCATCTTGGTGTGCTATGTGCGGATCAACCTCAAGCTCTGCCAGACGGCCAAGGAGAATCCGCTGACAGTGAAGAATGGGCACCACCGCCGGGCCTTCACTGTCATCCTGGTAGTGCTGCTGGCCGTCCTGCTGTGCTTCACCCCTTACCACCTCAACATCGTCCAGTTCATGGTCAGGAAGATCCTGTATCAGCCATCCTGTCGGGAACAGCAAGCCTTCAAGATGTCCCTGCAAGTGACTGTGGCGTTCATGAACCTTAACTGCTGCATCGACCCCATCATCTACTTCTTCGCCTTCCGGGGCTACAAGCGGCGTCTGCTCCGCATCTTCAGGAACAGCGGCTCCATGGGCACCTCCTCCACTGCCAAGACCCCATCGGAGAGCAACAGCAACAGCCAGCCACCCGGCTCCGTGTCTGTGTAGTGGCGCAATACCTCCCTTTTGCTCTGGGCTTCAGCTGATGGACTGTTCCCTGTGGCAGCCGCTGGTGCCCAGGCGCAGAGCAGGACCTGCCCCTCTGACCGGCTTTATCCTCCTTCCCGCTCTGTGTGCCTGGCTCTACGCTCAGCCCTGCTGGACCCCCACTGGACCCGTCAGGGAGGGATGGGGCTTTCATGCAGCTCCCGCAGAGGCAGCTCGGCCAAGGGTGCCACGCGGGGAGTTTCCCAGCACCGCAGCCTCCCACACGTCCCCCACATCCCGTGGGGTGCGCGGCTGTGGTAACCACAGGGCTGCACGGCCGTCCCCGTGCCCGGCTCTGCCGCTGCTCCCCACAGAGCGGGGGCTGCGCACCGTGGGGCTCAGTGCTGCCGTTGCAGGGCG